GGAGGAATGAAACGATATATTAAAAGTGACTACCTAACCACTATAATATATGTATATAAATATTATGTGGAGATCACATGTATTGTGAATAGCCGAAAACGAATTTCGGGTACATCTCAAAATCGATTTAGCGGTCAGCCATGACGCTTTTATTCATACACAGGCACACACACACATAAGTGAAATACAAGACCTCTCATTATATACTCGAACGTTGGCAGAATTAAATTACCTGCACTATTTCGTGTGAGATCTGACACCACTTCTGATGTCCCTCTGGTGGCGTCGCGGCTATCGTCAATTTCATCCTGGTAAGATTGAGAAAAAAATATTTCAACAATTTTCCTTTCTCATTAGTTTTATATCGATTATGTGAAAATTTATTTACGCTTTAAAAGATAAAATTTGAAGATCTTTGGGCGTTTGGTTGAAGACGTTTTTTTTTGGTAATTTTAACTTCAGCATGTCTATATTCTAGCTGATGTAAATAATAAAAGACACTGTTGGTTTCACAGTCAACTTTTGTGCTAGCAAGAATCAATAACTATATACAAAAGTACTATTTTGAACTACTTAAATAATTAAAACAAATATAAATTGAATTATTTATATTAAATTTAATATATTAAAATATTAATAAAATATTAAATTCATCAACTATACAGTACTATGTATTTAAAATTATAATTTTATGCGTTTTTTTCTACTTCAGATTTATCTTCTTCTTGTATTTGTATTACACGTATTTCCGTAGGTAGGTTATCAGCTGCGTTTGTTATTGTTCTTAATAGAACATTTTGTAACTTCCATAAAGTAAAAAGTGAGTCCTCAGCAGATTGCAGGAGTACCGACATTAATTCATTTTTTTTATCGATTCTGATAAAACACAACATATGTTTTCCAACAAGCTATCGATTTTCCTTTTTACAGTTTTTAGTGAGGTGTCTTATTAAGGTAATATAGGCATCTTCTGTTTACGTCTGTCACATTTTTATTAACACGTAGTTCCATTGTCTTCTTTATTTTCTTGCATATATATAGGGTGATTTATTATGTATACTGTCACCACTTTTATCGTTTAACTACCTATATGCATTCAATTTTAAATCCTGATTTTTAGAAATTCAGAAAGATTATAATATTTTTAAATGCTTAGATTTTGTTTTCTATTTAGAGTGTGTTATGTAGTTGAACAAACTTATTTTTTTCAATTAAGAGCCATATTTCTCTTTTATAGATTGTTAAACATATGATTTTATTGAACATTAGTGCTCCCTATCTTATAAACCTATTATTTAGGACTATCGTTCTTAGTACTTCAAAGTTCAAGTTTAATAACTCATGAACTATTCTTTTGAATTTCGATTTCGATTTATCAACATTTTCAAAAAAAAAAATTGGCTTAACAAATTTTATTGGCAAAAAATGGTATTCATGCGACAAATAAATAAGTTTGTACCATTAGAGAATATTCATTGAATTGAAAAAATATAAGTATGTAGGTATATTAAAATATTTTGAAAAATACTAAAAATAAAAATAAATTCGCCATTAAAGGAAAAATCGGGGGTGAAACACTCTCTATAATTTCTTCTCTCGTTTTTACGATTTGAACGCTTCACTGCACCAGTGTTTCTAATTTGAGTAGTTATAATATGTAATAGACATTATTGTAGGCATTGACAAAAACGGAGAGAAGACACAGAAATATAATGTAAAATCACAAATCCAAAAACTTTGAGACCCTGTATTTATTTTTGTTTTGTTTTCAAATGTTCACTCACACGAGTGATTTCTCTTCTCTCATCATCAAGCGTTACATCACACTTCACTGATCCCATGTAGTGTGTATAATATACTATACTGTAGTTACAGCAACAATATAACAATAATAACAATCCATGTGGATATTACGTACATTTGAAGTCTGATTCGCTACACTTGAATTGCTTATTAGTATTTCATGATCACTTTATTTTAATGAAAAATATTTTAAACACATGTTATTGTACTTTAATAGTACTTTTTAACATAGAGCATACATTTGAATGAATAAATTCAATTTTAAGAAAATTCGTTTCCATTTTTTTTTTGTATTGTTATTATAGTTGTAGTTGTAGATAATTTAGAAGCCACGCAATCATCAATTTTTTTGTTTTAAAATAATAATTTTAATTGTTTTTGTTAAATATGTTTCAATGGAGTTAAAAATGATTTGGCTTGTCCAGTGAAAACGTAACATAAATCAGCCATTTTTCCACAGCGTATTAACATAATTTTAATTTTAATGTTTTTTATAATTGTGCATGAGCACCGATAGCAAAATATTTCATGATCATTGATGATAAGGAATACCTACGATTCTAATCTATATAATATGTAATATGTGTATATTGTTAAATTTATATTATTTTTTTATACGTTTATTTCGTTAGGTAATTACAATTTATTATAAATATTTTAATTTAATTTAATTTTTTTTTAATTTTAAGCATTCTATTTTCATTCACTGGTAACCATACAGACGGCAGCAGAGTGCTACATTTTGGAAGCCTGTGGTCTGGAGGGGGGGGGGGATAGGTACACAATGGGTATATATTATAAACAAAATATTTTCAAAATCGTTTCGCATGATATTAACACTATAAGTATATTACATTTTCTAGAATATATTAAATATTTTCCAAAACCAAAGTAATCGACGATACAATTATATGTTTAATATGTGTATATTTTATAATATTTTCGTGGACGTATAGATCATAGTTTAATAATAGATAATATATTATTAATATAGGTACTGGCCATTTTATAAAGGTACTTTTCATTATATTTTACAAATATTATGCATCTGCATAAAATAACACGTATGGTCTTAGAAAATTCTAAAAAAAAACATATAAATTATTATAAATTACACATTAAATGTTTACCTTCGAGAGAGTTTCTCCCCCGACTCACACACATACGCATTCCGATACCGTAAGTGAAATCCCCGGAGAAAAATATGATTGATGTGTCCGACTCGAAGTTCCTAAATAATTTACAATGTATCTTCATACTATACTAGCCCGCGACACCACGTGTATACATTATCCTACCAATCTGTACTTTTGTACAGGTATTGTATAAGAATATTTTCTTAAAACCGCAATGCTCCAAATATATACACTGGAGTACCGATACATAGCATAGACTGGACGATTGTGGACTCTAGGGAGGTGTTTTGTATTTCTGGAAAAGCGAACTGTGGCATTGAAATGGAGACGTGTGAGATCGAGACACCGGAGGAGAGAATAAAAATCAGAAAATCTGTTTCAGCATCCCAGAGGGTTAACTCCACCAAACTCCACCACTCACTCTATAGGCTGTGTTGTATGTATTGTGTATTTGAGAAGGTCAACCAATATCAATAGAGATAGAGGGAGGGGAGAGGGAGAGAGAGAGAGAGAGAGAGAGAGGGAGAGAGAGAGAGAGAGAGAGTAGATAATCTGTAGTTTTTGCGTTTTTAAAATAAATCATAACATACATTTGAAGTACTTATAACACTTAATTTTTCGTAGAAATTTAGTTTTTCGATTCAACTTGCAAACACAAAAGTAAGTTGAGACGTATATGGCGATGGAGCAAAAATTCACTGTTACTCTACCACATTTCTTGTCTAAACTTAAAACTAAAATATTGATTCGATCATTTTAAATTTTGTTCTAGAATATGAAATTAAAAATATGGATAAAACACACCGATCATATAAGTATGGTAAAAGTGTAATAGATTTTGAAAATTTATAATTAGAGTTATTATATTATTATTTTATGAGTACTTCAAATGATATAATATATATACTCGTATAACACTATTATTGTCTGAGAGAATAAGTTTTACGAAGGAAGAACCAACCCACCTGTTTAATAATATATACCTATAGGGGAGTTTGGTCATAATCATTGACATATATATGCAGACGATTACCATCTCAAAATTCGACTCGCTACCAGATACACGTTGTTACACATGCCGTTATAAAAAACGAAAACCTACTTTTATTCCAAAAAAATTAAGAGACGGTTTATTTTTTGGTTCGATGAGAAATATAATTATACGTGAGTATATTATATATATATTTAGACGGTGCATATGGCCGTCGACCGTTTACAAACAATATTCTACGTAAATATTAAAATAATTTAATAATTATACATAATAATAAAACATTAATATTATACCGTAAATCATTATTGTAATAACAGAAAAAAATTGTACGTCTATATTGTAAATATAATATTTTATATTATACTAATAGTAAGAAAAAAATAATACAATAATTACGAATAATGAGATACTGATAAAATTGCGTAAGGGTTAAAAGTTGTTGTATATGTGTGTTGTTATACGTATATATATATATGTAAATTCATAATATATAGTAAATTGTTGACGTTAGAATTTGTATTATCATTCATTTCTATCATCTGCACCTCTCCCACGAGAGTTTTGGCCAATCACCAATGTATAAATAATAATAATAAAAATTAAAAAAAAAAAAATTGTATAATATAATATTATTTGGTGACTAGAGCTGAGTAGTAAATAATATATTTATTTAATTTTTTTTTCGTGGACATCAGCAGCTCGCGCTCGTTACGCGCATGAAGGGATTAATAATGATTGAGAAAAAGAGAGAATGAATGAAACAATAATAATAATTAAAAAATGTAATCGTTGTTATATAGCCCGTCGTCCCATCGGTCAGCGTGTGATCGTATCGCGTCCGTTAGTGGTTAGGTGACCTCCGATCGGTCCGATCGATGATTCTAGAAAGCGCCTCTTCTCGGGGTGCTAATACACGCGTTTCACAAATAATATATATAAATATATATATATACACATACACACACGCACACACACATATATATACGTATATCATGTATACAATTTTAACGTGTATATACATATAAATATGTTTTATAAATTAAAATATTATTTCATACATTTTTGGATTTTTTTTTTTAATTATAGTTTTTTTTTTTTATTAATATATTATTTTTTTTTATTCATCTTCGTCGCCGTGTTCGTCGTCTTCCTCGTGTCTTGGTCACCGTACAGATTTCTAAACAAAAAAATATCATCGAAACGTCAGTACAACTATTGTTCAACATTTTCTATTTTAATATTAGTTCTTTACGACCGTCGTGGCCTTGGTTATGGATCAGAGAGCACGGTGAAAAATATCACGAACAAGTTTCATACTAGCCTTAGTTCAGATAAAAGTTAGAAACAGGACCATAGTGAACTGGCTTGTCGAATTCAATGGCAAAACGCGAAATGATAACAAACACTGTGTGTCGTTTGATTACTTATATTGTATCATTATGCTCGGCTTAGTGTGATGAATTAGAAAATTGAAACGATCGTCGAATTTGGACAGCAACGATTTCAATATTTTTTTAACGACATAATTATTAATAATTTCTGTAGCGAATAAATTCCACGTGACCATCCAATATTGGAGCGTTCAGTATCATTAAATTTAATGCGCAGAGTCAGTTCGGTGGTCACTTACGTATTTATTCGTTATATCATTCTGGTATAATATTATGGTCTGTAACAGTTCACACAACAATATTGTCTCACAATTGTGAGACATCACCTATCCATCACCGAAGCGATAAACCGATTACAATATGTATAAAAATATATTATATACTCACGTCTAAAAGACCATTTCGGATAATGTGATGCGGCAAGTAGAGAGTGCAACGCCGCTGTCACTGGACCCAGATTGTACGCTGCCCGTGTCGCTCACCCATCCGGTCACGTCCACTTCGTCTGTTGAACAAAATATAAATTAAAAAATTATAATATTACTATATATATATTCCTATTTATATATAATGTGTCATGAAATTGATATAGTAAATACTCGCAGTTTACTTTAATCGCATCAAAATGTTCACGAAAAGTGGGTGGGGTTGTGGTGAATGAAGGGTGTTAAATATTATATTGTGTAAAGCCATATTATTCTATATATTGTTAAATGTTGGTAAGTTTTTACTGGCTGCTCAGCCACATCACAATAAGACCAAATTCACTCTCTTGGAATATATATATATATATATATGTGTATAATGTATATAATAACCATAGCTAGGAACCAAAACATCAGTTATTGGAACATAATATTTTGTTTCTAATGCACCCGCGTACAATTGGTTTACTTATAACGCATGTTCCCAATACCTACACTATTTTCCTACCTAACCATATACCTATGCCAAAAATGTCAAACTTGTATCTCGTTATATAAGTTTAATCATTTTATTTAAGCTGAATAAAATATCCAATAAAAAATTAATAAAAAAAAAGAAAAGTAAATCCTATTTAAATTTAAACTATAAACTTTTAAGTGTACAATGTAAAATATGAAAATATATATGGTAGGTATTTTAGAACAAAGATTAGAACTATTGCGTCAAATTCTACAGTTAAAATAAAACACATTTTAATGTAAGTATCATTATTACTACATACGACTAGAAAAGGAAAAAAACCGACAACTGTGAACTAGATATACTTATAATTTATAGGAGGGACATAAAACAGCCGAGTAACCTATATTGTTCCGAATAAGTTGAGACAACGACCTTACCCCCTTCACTTGTTACCTATATGTGAGGCCTCACTTGCGGGTAGTAATTTTAGTGGATATCCATTAATAAATAATACGTAATAATAAATCGTAGATGTAGGGCGTTAGAAACAAGCGGCTCGCGACGACGGTGTTCGGCTTCGCTGCTGAAACATCTTTAGAGGAGTTCAGTTTGGACCGATTTATTGGTTAAAAGGATCAACTACCGATGGAGAAGGCGGGTGTAAGGCATTGGCGTAAGGACGTTGATTTATTACCAATGCAATGGGTGTCGTCGTAGTCGTCCTCGAGAGAATAAATCTCTTCTCGTTGGTATTAATTGAATTCGTTCGGGTCGCCCGGTGGTCGCTGCCACCGTTCGATGCTCAATCCTTTCTACTTGCCACCACATTCGCGTCCTCATTTGTACGCTTATCTACAGTCCGGGGGCGAGTCTCTTCGCCCTTCTCAGTCCTCCATACCTTCTTTATCACTTTTCCTCCGTTTCTGTCTCGTCCGTTTCGGAACAGCTGTATTACATTATGTGTGTTTGTGTAATTGTGTACAGAGTACACAACAAATACTACGATGCGTCGGGAGGTGGTTGGAAGTGATGGCGGTGGTGAGTTATTAACACGGGCGGAAGATCGGCAATGTTGCCGATCCGTCGTAAATCATAAACCAACAGCGGTGGTTAGGGAGGGAGAAAAAATATTATAATAATAATAATGACGATGACGACTTCAGCAGTAGCGCGCGTGCGCGCGCGCGTGTGTGTACATCATACATATGTACATATAATAAAAGCGGCAACGTCACACAACACACACACACACACACACACACGCCCACACACACACAGATGTATATACAAAGTCGCGTGCTGCGAAATTCATTTCAGGGTGGGTTCCGTAAATAATGCGCATAGTTTTTAAACGCTATAAATTACACAGGGACCAAACCACTAACGCCGCTGCTACTGTCGTCGTCGTCGTCGTCGTCGCCATAGTCGTTGTTATAAGGCCCGTTTTGATTTCCGGCGTGCAAAACCCCCTCCCCCCCCGCCGCAGCCGCTTCACCAGCACCGGTTTTGATTTATCCCGGTGTTTTATTTTTTTTCCCGTCTTCCGCTACCGCCAACGCCACCATCCATCGGTGGATTCTCGGTGTTTGCCCACACACGCCACCGCGCTCACCGTGGCGCAGCCAACCCTGCACCGCGTCTGGCGGTTTTCCGGTGGGAGGTGCGACGCGCCAAAACGTATTTCTTCGGATTTTACGATTTATGTCAAAGCGCGTATAATACAATACATAATGCTATATATTATATACGCGATGCTTTCTAAATATTAATGCCGTGCATGTATATGCTGTTATTTTTGGCGTCGTAGTTTTTCCTAACGAACTGTGCCTCGTTGTGCAGCAACGGGTAGAAACCACACGTCACCGCACATGATTTTGTATTTTCAACGGAATGAATAATAATAACAGTGATAATTTAATACATTTTATGTGGATACATATGTATAAGTATTAGATTTTTGTTGGTTTTCCTCGCCTTTGTTGAAAATAAATTAATACTATTTTAACAATTTTATAACATACGTATATGTATATTTAGGTATAGTGATGGCGTGATCAATAAATCTCCTGGAATATAATGAGCACCATTCTCTAAACTTCCTGTCGACTATCGGTTAAAATAAATTAATGGCACACGAAAGATTTATGTTGAAAAACCTTTATAGACACTGTGAGCACTATAATTCGTAAGTTGGTACGTTATAGCAAAACACAATTGTATTTGTTGTGCGTTAGACTTGATCAGCACGCAATTTAATATGCAACAATAAATGCCGATAGGTATATTGTAAATAACAGAATTACATTACACTTAGTGATTATTTGTTTAGTGTAAAAACCATAATTAATTTGTCAACATATATTTGGACAAATTTCACGAAAATAATATAATTTTGTAATATAAAATTGTTATAGGTACAAAAGAATGATATTACTTTGAGTTAATAGATTTAAAATCGTAAAAAATAAATAAATCTTGGAACTGTAGTGTTGCAGTGTAATAGTATCTACCTATATGGTTGTCTTACAGACGGTCAGTATACCCTTTTTAATCAAGGCCGTGATTCTTTTTATCTTCGGATATCGTTCACCACGATGTAATTTCAGGCGATATTCCGGACAACAATAAAACATGTATACTTACAAGGACGATCACATCTCGGTGCAACTATTAAACCATGTGCAATTGTGCATTGTGCATATGCACACAAACAGCATACATAATGTTCATTATATATACATGTGTTATGTGTGTATATTGTATATGGACGTAGGATTAGGGTCACCGGAGCACTAAAACTTTTCTTATTTCCTCATCAGTAAGGTGGTGGAAGCGTGAGTGTGAATGGGTGGAGGGGGTTTTTACGGTGTGGCGGTGTCGACGGTGGGTGGGGATATTTTACGAAGCGGTGGTGTGCGTGGTTATACCGTTCAAATTACTGGGGAACGATTCAAACCGACGACGTCGGACGTATTTCCGTCCGCAGACCCATTCGACCGGTTAATGGAACGGAAAATTGAGCACGCGAAAAAAAAAAAAATATATATATACCTATTGACGAAATTCACGCCGAAAACGAGATGCCACCGCGGCCACCACCTATCCTTCACCTGCTGCGCGTTTTCTCGTCTTGTTTTTCTTTTCGTCGAATTTTCTTTATCTGCGTCCAGAGGGCTCAAAACTAATAACGCGGTAAACCGCGAGGGTCCTCTCTATCTCTCTTTCTTTCTTTCTCTTTCTCTCTCTCTCCCGCTTCCACCACCTCTCTAATACGTCATTATATCCGTCCAAACCACTCGCACTGCCATCACGGAAGTCGTAAAATACGTTGAAAATGTTTCCTCGAATATATCTCACCTAAATATAATATATTATATAGGGTGATTTTTTTCATCATGATTAATGAGATATCCTTATCCAGTCATTATACGATTAGGGCTTTGCATTGTATTCCATATTTTTTTATCATAACTTTTTTTTTTTTTATTGATCTTAAGCTTCGGTAACTGAGGCAATTAGCTGTAGTAGGTATTGTAGGATTGTATTGTAGGTTTTGTATTGTATATTTTGGGACGGTAGGGGGGAACACGTGTATGTTTGTTTTTGGCAGAATTTCGAATGGGGCACCCGTAGGTTTCTGCCATGCCCCGGGGGTGGGGTGCACTTGTTCTCCGGTCACCGCGACTTGTCCGGAGAAAAATTCCGCCCGGTGGCCGAGGAATCATAACTTATGTATAAATATATTTTTTGATAAAATACAAAAAAAAAATAACCCATGGTTTATGATAAAAAGAATCACCCGGTACGAACGGGGTCATCGACGATGGTGGTTACACTATAACTTTGCTTGATAGGCTGTTTATTATACATTATGATAATAATATTAGTATAATATTATAATAGTGTTTATAACCATGCGACCGACGGCAACGAGCGTAAACCCAAGAGGGATTTTTTATGCAAGTTTTTATTCCAAGCATTTTGACTGATTTGTTATTTCATATAGGACCAACAATACAATTTTTATTATACCATATAGCATTATATTATATTAAATATATTGTTTATATATATATATATATATATGTATATATATATAATTATAAGTAGATGGAAAACGATCAAACATTTTTTTACAATAACCTCGCACCCGCAATATAATATACTTTTAGGTAGACATATAATTTATATTATTTATTTATTTATTTATTTAATTTATTATACATGTAATATGTAGCTCTACATAACAAATTTAATGAGAATAACATTGTAACAAATTAAAAAGTTTTTTCCGGAAAAGTCTTATTTTTAAAAGGGGTTTACAGCGTACGTAGGAAAACGTCAGACAATTTAAATTCAAAATTAACGAGGCATAACAGATGTATGCATACAATTGGACGAATCGAGTCTGCAACAATATCGTATTATATTACATAATATTATTATTATTGTATTATCATAAATTATATCCGCCTGGGCCCTTATTACTTTGGTCGTAGTGAAATTTTGAAATTAATTTTTGTTTCTATAATATTATAATATGTTGTTCAAGTCTCTTATGAAGAATAGCTTATAATTAATACGCGAATTGTCTTTTTTCTGTGAAAACCTTTAAGCTGAATTTAATGACGTCCACTCTTCCCTCCATCGTATACAATGGTGACGTGGATGGCAAGAGGACGGTGGAAGGAGGGATAGATGGAGCTGGGGAAGAAAAAAAATTGGCGGTCTCATCAATCCTCCGGCCTTTTAATTTCGTTTCTGTCAGCCGGGGTCGGCAAAGGAAGAAAAACCGTCCGAGAGCATTATTTTCCGAGTTTATTAATGAAATTAACGAGAGCAAAAGCGCAGAGACGTGACCCTGTGGCCTTTGAACGCCCCGGGTCTAAGATATTCACTCGAAAAACAATTTATTGCGGAGAAATTAGTTAATTTAAACGAGTTGAATATGCGTCTGCCACCGCCACCCGACTGATGCAGGCGTCACCCTGCAGAACAACAGCATAGAAGGACGGATAAAAAGCCGGTCCTAACTAATGAGGAATGCCGACTAACGAGCTACGAAGTGTCTTCTTCTTTTCCTACGTCAGTACGTTTTAACTCGAGTTTTTTTTTTTTATTCATTTCTTCGCAATGAAAGTTCTTATTTTATATTCGTATTTTGACGAGCAAACATAAAATAATGTTTTCATTCTATCAAACGAGTTGTTCGATTTTTTGGAGGAAAGTTTTTGGACTGGTGATTAATGTCCACATTTTCTGGAAGTGTTATTTAGAAAGATATGATATACCTTTGATTATATGAGCAAGTTCATTTTTAAATAAAATTATCGAAATTGAATGAGCCGTAAGTCCTAACACCGGATAACTTAAAATCTCTTTGAAAAAGTGACAAGATTTAGTCCTATAACGTTATTATAAATAAAAAAAAAAATTACAACACAACGGTGTAAAAATGTAATTTTTTTTTCACATGCACGAACCAATGATAAATCCTTCTCTATTTCAATAACCACATTATGTATCGTAATTGAAGTAGCCTCTGGATGTCAAATAACAATTTTGGTAGATGCGTATATTATCGCATTATTCCTGCATATATGTTATGACATAATTCGATTAGAACACGTTCCATCACTTAACAATTGCGCGTTGAAGGGTTTCATGCGATTTATTTAGGAAGCAAAATGTGTAATACGGTTACAACAATCATATTATTGTTAGTGTGGCGTTCACCTGGGTTGGAGAAATCGTTGAAATCGTCCTTCTCCGTGAAATTCGTATCGTATCAATACATATAATATGTAATGGATACGAACTCGTATATTGAAGAGACGGCCATCATAAATTAATTCAGTTTGCATACAAATCCACTCGTATTAACATAGGGTATATACAATACACATAAAATTTAAAATAATCTCGTGGGATGATATGTGTATATTTTTTATAATAATATGCTGTCAGTGATTGATCGGAACTTATATTGATAAACACAATGGACCAACAATAATTGGTGTTCAATCAGCTTAAAAAAACCGTTTAAAAACATGTCAACTCATACACATTCCGGTCCACTGATCGAAAAATAAAACACTATGCGCCTGACAGCTACTTATAATAATTTAATTATATACTCGGAAATTACTTTGGAGCCATAATTCGAGGCAATGTACGATTTATATGAGTATAATATTGTGTATCACAGTATAGGTACGCGATGCACGTGACGTTTGACTTTGAGTATTGCGAATAATGGCTCTGACGGCGGTCTAGCATGCACGCAGTGCGTGGGAAGGAGAATTATTTATTTATATATATATATATATTAGACTATCAGAGAACTATCATAGCGTTGACCCCTAATGTTTATTTTTAATTGAAAATCGTTATCTTAAACGTGAGAAATATATTTAAGACGTGTAAGTATTCCGCGTTATATATAATATTATGTGTGGTGCGTGCCACACCGTGGTATTATATACGTAGGATGATATCGATTTGAAGTGCTACCACTAAACGATTTCGTGGTTCCTTTCGAGGCTTTTTAATTACTATATTTAATAAGTACATTCTATTTCACATTCTATTATCAGCCTAAAAATCATATGGCTAGGATTGATTACAGTCTACTACATTATGTTATGTACTATTATACCATAAGTCGAATAATAAATTATATTTTATTTGCATAGTTCGATGAAAAATGTTTACAAAAATAAAATACATATGTATCATACAGGGTTTAGGATTTTGAAATAAAAGAGTTACCATCTATTTATTTACTGTTTTATTTTATTTTCATTGTATTAGGTATTCAATATTTCAGTATTTCATTATTTATTATTTAAACAATAGATTGTGGGTATAAAAACATTCACACTATTAAAAATAGCTGTCACAATCACCTGATATAAACGAGTATAATATACACACCTATACAAGGGTTGTTTATAAGTACTATTGTGCGCTATATATGTGGTCATTACGGACTGCTTATGAACCCTGCGAGTATTAGGAAGATCGGTAGAAAAAACTTTCGAATAACGCTTATGAGAACGACACTTGAGTTTTGATATTAGTCGGGGCCGTCCGTTGGGTGGTGCGAAAAGGGTAATGCATAATTATGGGTCGAGTAGTATTGATATTATAAACACTCTACACTAATTTGGAGACTAGTTTGCCCTTTCTCGCAGTAGTTTACCCCTCAAAAATTCAAATTGGTTGGAAAACAACATTGAGTGTGGGTGCGCTGGGCGATGGTCATCGAAACGAAAATCAATTCGTCCGGCCCCTCCCGCAATGCCCACCCAAAATACGAATGAAGTTCAACCGTCATCGTCGTTATTGTTTGTAATATTATTATTTTACATATCATACTAAAATATAATATGGTGACGTACCTGATTCAGATATAGATGGCGACGAAGACGTGCTGCACGCGGACGAGGATGTCGATGCACCAGACGCGGTCGTGTAGCTACTGGACTCAGACACGGAACGGCGTTTGTTCACATTTAATGTGGTCGTCAACTGGTCCAGTCTCCGCCGCAGGTATCTATGCTCTCGGCTCAGGGTGTCCTTGTGCATTATGTGTTTTTTCTCCTGCGATTCCAAATTCTGTAACACATCCAAGAAAGCATCGCAATTAATAACCATATAATTATGGACGTAAAACCAGCACGCCATACGTCAAATTTTAAATTATTATATACTATATGTGTATAATGCCGGTGTATTGTGCTTAACCACTTGAGTTTACCAACCAAACGCTAATGGACTCGTCTAACGCTTTTGTTTTTCATAATATATTAGTGACGGCTGAAGTGTTGTATAACGTACAGAGACAGATTTATATGGACGAAGAAAAGTCGCTAAACACTACCGTTATAGATAAATGTCGGGAAGGGGTTGGGGAATGGGTTGTAAAAAAAGGTTACGATTTCCGACGACAAACGTAGTAGCCGTTCCTTCCTCCTCACCCCCATAGTCACGCGGCTTGGATACTCGTTTATAATTCATCAGTGTCTCGGCGCAAAACAATCGCGGGTGGTGCATACAAAGTAGTCTTTTAAGACTCGGGTATAAGTCGTCTAATAGTCGTTGCTTATTTTTTTTTTACTCGCCCGTTGTCTTTATTATGCGCACGATGGTTTTAGCATACACGTGCGTATTTATATATGTATATATATATATATTACTATAAACGTAAAATGTTTGTATTCTATTTTGTATCGCAGCCGTTCGTGCGCATACATATATGCAAGCCGAGTGCGCACGTGTGTGATGTGTGTGTGTGTGTGTGTGTGTGTGTGTGTGTGTGTGTGTGTACTGCTGCCTGGAGAAAAATTGAAGCAAATTTCAATTGAAAGACGAGCGTTTTTCGAGTGAGGATAAAAGCTCCCTATACTCTTGTCGAAGCTGAGGAAAGTTATACACACACATTGTCTCGTGACTTATTACAGACCACGTGTTCCAAAACTACATGAATTATCACGCCCAGAGTAGTCGTTTTGTCAAGTGAGAAATTAAACAATTAATAACAAATGGCTATCAAAAATGCGTCCACCGGATAGACTCATGACAAATACCACAGAAAATAAATGAATAATCTGACAACAATAACTACTGTCTAGTTATATAGTAGAAGTCTCGTAGTTATCATCGGTTGTTTTAAGTTTAATCCACCACCATTACCTGCAGGTAATAACCGAAAGCTATACATGATCATACATAATGGTACTAATAATAAGCATAGAGGAGTATTCCGTTGAAATTAAATTTGTATTAAAGTATATATTATACTGTCGTGTAATCTGATGAATGTAGAGTCAAAACATTCACTTAGGATGACTCAGCCAATCTATTGTCGGCCAAAGAAACCATTTAAAAATGTTGGGCCAAAGTGTCCACACATATGTACATAAATAGTTCATGCAACAAATCAGTGGTACCTCGTTATAACATTTAAATTAAAATATTCACTATTTAATATAATTAACTCTGTTTCTAGTTTAGAACTACTGTTATCAGTTATCACAAATACCTCGTATTTACACAAAATAAACGTTTGTGCAATCAAAAAACATTCCTAGAAGCCGTGAAATTAGTAACGTGGTTGTAGTATTTACCATTGAACAAAACATGATTGCAATGAATATAATATTCTCATTTCTCACAGTGCCATAGGGACCGTCGATGAGTGAAGTGTAAACATATTAATCCAACATGTAAATACTAAATAGTAAATAATGTCAAGCATGGACTAACGAATAAGAGTGTTTTATGACGTATTTTGGTTATAAAGGTTACAAAAGAGATGGAATTGGTCATATCTATATGTAAATTGTGAGAGAGATAGAGAGTGATTGAGTGACAGTGAACGAGAGAACGAGGGATAGGGAATATAATACTTTATCGTAGTCGAGAGCGTTATCATTTATAACACGGCGCTTTGAATAGGCAATATAGCACCATATCTGCGTGCCAGTCTTACTAGTATATTATAATAATATTATATTATTATGCAGAAAATAAATATTATAATAACATCATTGTACATTACATATATAGGTACTAAAACTATATTATTATCGACGTAAAATAATATTTATTATTATAACGGCGACGCGTGACGACGTGACTGTATTAATTTTATTCGTTCTAAAATGACATCCACAGACGCCACATAATAATAATAATTGAGGGCATCTGACGTAGACATGTAGACACGTGCAAGTGACGTTTTTAATTTTTAATTAATTCATCACCACGCGAGAATAATAATATTATTCGTAGCTTATGTATGGTTACATTTTAATGGATTCGTGCGTTGTTTTTGTATGTGTATCTTTTATATAATATAGTCGGACGTGGTTTTGACTGACTGACCGATCAACATAGAGCCTGAAGTATGATAGCTAGAGACTTAAACTTCCCATGGTACCTTCTTAACTGTGTAAAGGTGCACTAAGAAAGGATTTGAAACAAATTTTCATTTTATAGAGGTTCCCTCAAGGATTTTGAATTTCATGATGGAAATCGAACATTTTTTTGTGTATAAATCGTTGTTATTGGTTACAGATTATAATATTAATACTATATAAATGAGTGGAAATTAGTATTTTTTGTAAATTCCTTATTTTGCATTGGTATTCGGGCAGATGATGTAAGAGCATGCATCAAATCGTTGCGTTTACATGGCATCGATTAAAGAAACTTTATTTTAAAACCAAATGTATGTTTGTTGTTTATACTCAAATACTATTGGTTGATTTGGACAAAATTCTCAGAGATTGTTTTTATTCACATTAAAAAATATACCAAGTGCTAAATCCTATCCAAAACTTGTCTCTGCCCATCTAGGTCAAATTATTTCACAAAGTAAGTGTACATCGAAGCCGATTCGTCCGTGAACCGAGGTACACTAAAACCGAAATACACCTGTGTAGTGCTGTTTTTTATATTTACTCATTTTGTTCCCGGGTGAAGTGGGGTTATATATTTAGTAATATATATATATAGCGTATACATATATAGTTTATTATTTGAGACGAACACATCACTAACACCCCGAGTAGCACGGACAAGAAGCGGCGTGAATTTCCGTTAAAAACGTCGGAGGGAAAAAAGTTATTGCTTAATAAAATACGTGCTGCGGCGGTGGAAGTACTGGAACGAGCGGACGAGCGTGTATGCTAGATGAAAATAACGATCCCGTGGTTGTAGAAAATGTCGCTTTTGTCGACTTCAAAGGACTCTGTGTGGTTCTATATATATTTATATAATACGTATAATCTATATAATGGTTTCCAGGCCATTGTCGAGATGAGGTGGGGCAGTCAGTATCGATTGTTAGAAAACGTACGGTGAAGGAGAAAAAAATTATCCCCTTACGGTGGTTTAACCCCGCAAAGTGTTTCGACGTGTCCAGTCCAGGGAGAGACGGAGAAAGAGTCTTTATATTGTGTACATATATATAGTGATAGGGCAACCGAGTGAAAGAGCGAGTGGGATTATATTATACTTTACACCCCGAAGCCATATACCCACGACGATAAACCGTGTACGACGGGACTGCTCTCGTCGGGACACTCCTAAAATTGATAGCTCTCACAATCGCAGTGTGGATTTATATCTATAGATGTATAAATGTATAGGTTGGGTGAGCGCGCGCGCGTGTGTGTTAATTCGCTCCGTTCATATTGTATACGTAAGCGGATCCGGATTTTCACCAGAGAATTCGATCGTGCGAGCAAAAACGTTTCTCTATCTCGTCACCGAGAATATCATTTTTCTACACCTATAGTTTGGGTTGGGGGAAGGGTAGGGTTCTTCCGAATTCGCTACCTATATCGGAATTATCCTGGCAGTAACTTTCAGCGAGTATATGATATAACGCCTATACTCGGAATCGCCATCATCCGTCGACGAAATTGTAATTATATTATATTTTAGCATTCCGTTAGTGGATAAACCGTGTAACTATAGTAATGCTTGGCGTGTTTATGAGGCGTTTTACAAAATTTGTTATTTTAACCATAACCGTAACAAACTTTTAAAAACATGCGATATGTTGACACATTTGAAAAAAAAAACGGAGTAATAAATAAATGTCAAGTCTTGACAAAGGTATAGCTGCCATGGCTATACCAAAAACTACATATTTTTATTCATTATATCGTTATTTCCGTCAGCCCACTGCACGACGTTGTTAGAGCACTACAAATTAAAGTAATCGTTTAAGAACGTAAAACCTTAAACCAAGCTCACCAAACAAATATTTGATGAGATCGACCTGTATAATGTGTGGTGCTATAACGACAATCCACTCAAAATGTGACTCATCTGAGTTGAAATTACTTGCACTCATACATTTGTTGTCCATTTCAAATGATAATAATAATAAGAATGATATTAAACAATTTTTTTTCTTTTGTCTCATCATTGTTGAAAAGCAATAGCCAACTAAAATAATGAAACATGACTGTTCAAATTAATTATTAACCTTGCTGTAGCAGTTTATAATATTATATATAATTATTGAGAAAACTGAATTCAAGTTTCTAATAATTAAAAAAAAAAATGATCGAGCGAGAAGAAAAAAATGATTGCAAATTGACGCTAATATTCAACTGCCACCAGCCGGCGTCAGATTTTTCATTAAAAAACTCTTAAAAACTCGATAATGAACGTTTTTCATTTTCCAGCCGACTTCCATTCCCCACCGATTTCTCCCCTTTGATGATTTATTTTTCGAGCTTCAGTCGTTTGTTAGTTGCCGCGCGCGCGTTTTTCTCTACCGCCACTGGCAGTAATTAATCGGCCGAGGCGATTTCAACGATTTGTTGTTTATGGTATGAATACAAATGTCTCACGACCACCGAGTTTTGTTTTTTCCGCTACGGAAAAAGACTGAGACCCGGAACGTTACCGGCTCCGCGGGAAATGACAAAACTAAGTTTCGCTATTTTCGCATTAAAAAACCATAATAATAATAATAATAAAACGATTACACGATTCGTATATATTTCGCTCCCCGCATTGGTAAATAAATTCAAACCTAGCTAAACGTGGTCGTAATTTACGTACGATAATCGAGTTTGGAAATAAATCACATA